CATAGTCTAAAAATTTGCTTTCTTGTAAATTAAATCGGCTCCACAGACCTATAGCAATCTAAAACTAGTCAAAAAGGTTGCACAATAAAATGATTTTAGGTAATACTTGTTTAAAAGAAACACCACATTCTGTAGTTGCTTTTTGAGTGCCACTGTCAGGATTTTCATTTGTCAGAATTTTTATAGGTAAGCACAATGGCAGCCATATTTTAGATTCCGGATTCAAAATCTCGGGAGACATGACCAAACCGGGGAGTTTTTATTTCAGATTTGTCCACTTCTGTGTAAACGGCAAAATCAATCCGTTACTAAAACGTTCCGTATTCATCACAAATCTGGAACAATTTCCTTTAGTGTAAACCTAGTCTCAGTCTACATGAGATCTCATTTGAGTGAAGGCAGGTACTGTACTCAGAGTAGACGTGTGCCGATACCCAGGTCCCGGCTTCTAATGAAACCCCTGGTCACATAATTCAAGAATTATGTTATCCACGGCTATCCTTAGTATGGTGGTTATTTCCCTACCAATGACATAATCCTTGCATGTTCTGACACATTCTTTGCTTGGCTTGCAAATATTTAATTTTCCTTCCGATCTCTGAACTCACTTCAGTAAAAGAGCTCGACAATTCACTTCTCTTGTCTAAAAATATGAAAAATACTCGGAAAACTAAAGGCTCGCTCCTGGCGAAATAAACTTGCAAAGTAAACGAGATCTTATTTGTCATGTAGTGAAAGTGAAAGATGCAACGTCAGCGCATTCCATGGCTGACGTAATGCCTTTTTTAACGTATTTATTATTCCCTTGGAATCCAGCGCTTCGATAAAACCAAAAGGAAATATATTTTACACACAATTAAGAAAACAATATCGGTAGCATTGTCCGTGTATTAATGTTTCAACAGGGTTTGGCGAATAAACAACACAGGTTGCATGATTCAAAATTTGGCCAAGAGGAAGTTCGGGTCTGGTCACCGACAAAACTAAAAAAAATAATAATAATAAACCCCGGATAGAACATGAACCGCACTTGGCCCATGGCTGCTCAGTTAATGATATTAAATCCTGGGTAGAACATAAACCGCGCTCAGCTCATGGCCGCGCGGTTAACAAGGTCACCACCAGTCTCCCTGCTATTTAAAGGCTAGGTTACTGGGGAGACAACTGTAAAATGGTCTATTTACCTTTTTTATTTGTTAAACTGAAGAAGATGTAAATTTGAGCAATGTAAACAAATACAAACGCAAAATTTAAAAACATTTGGTCATGTGCTCTCTTGCAGGTCACTGGTCAAAACTTCAATACAATATTGTCTTGAGAAATATTTGTTACAAGTGCTGGCGATCTGAAATTGAGTTGAGTTCTAAGTGTCGCCAACAATTCAAATGCCTTTCCTGGAAAATGTTTCGCCCAGTACAAGTTAATTTACCGCAACCTATTATTATCTATTCATCGCTAGTTCAACTTCACGTGCAGATCACTATCTGACAATTGATCAAACTTAGTTCCAATGCCACCAAAGTAGATCAAACATGCAAAGTACGCATGTGAATGCACTGCTCT